GAATAGAGCAAGGCTTCCGACAAATTCGAGAAACACCAGGAATGATAGAGAGAGTAACCAGATGAATGACAAGACGCGTGCATGCTCGTCTTCAAATGCAAGCTGGTCATTTCGAGCATTTTTTGTAAAAGTAATTCAAACAGAAAATTCATTATATCTCATAAACGAAGACAGATATGACATATATTTATCTGACTTTTTTTCATTATTTTTAGCCGTACAATCGACACGCACAAGTTACGAAACACTCTGTATAATCTGAGACAAGAAATGCTCGTCGACCAGCCACTGACAGGTTGTGTTCGATTCCAAGAGTAGTGAATTTAGTTGCTGGTGGCTAATTAGCCAAATGTCCAGCCAGACCGAGAGATTATCATTTCCCCGAGATAGCACTTTCGCTTGGACGTCATTCACGGATTTAGCGGCGGACAGCTCGGGATTCTACTTTAGTTGCTCGTTAAATCTGGGTTAAGCGTTTCAACGCGGACAACATCGGACTCGATTTCCACTGTCGTCATCGAGCTCCGCCGCGGAGTCACGTGATCGGTGCGCGCGTGCTGCTGGAGATTCATTTCGTCGCGGACAACTTCGCAGAAGAGTGAGAGATTTTGGGATTTTTGCATTATTACATAACCCTTTCGTTACGACAGCCTGCTGCGGCAGAAGTGTTTACATTGATCGAATCATTTCCCGAGTCCCATCCGTTTCGAAATTGAATCTGTTTTTCGAATTCCTTTGTGACATTTTGACAAGGAATGTTTTTCTTTTTATTTAAACAAACTTTAATCTTTCAAACAAACATCTAACTTTGAATTTTTAAGAGATTAACAGATTACATCTGTGGCTGATCTTTCCCGAATTAGATTGAGAGAGATGTTTTTTATTACAATAATTTCTTAAGTCGCGTTAATATTCCGCCGTCGAATAGAGAAAATAGAAAGAACTCGTCTTGATGGCTAAAGTCTATTTTTAACATGTAATTACTTCAAACTACGTCAATAGATGCCATATACATATATATCTCCTCTGGTGTTCATGATGAAAGAATTAAAGAAAAATTCAAATTTAAAAGATTTTTATTTGTTACAGACTCGAAACACATCGCTCGTCAAGTCTAAAAAATTTTCCAATTTTCTTCACTTCATTCGGTATTTTCTTTCTTCTTTCTTTTTTTTTTTTATTATACTACGTATCATAGTTATTGACGAGAAATACAATTTCTCCACAAGAACAGAGTGTTTTTTTAATGTGGAAACAAATTCAGGACAAAGAATTGAACACGATTGCGAATCAGAACATTCTGAAGAATAAAAAATTACTCGATGAAAATCGATGTTCCTAAAGTGTCTAACTTAACATGCGTTTGCTTCAACTAGGATCGTTGTTGCATTTCATTAATTTCATCATTTGCAAGATTGGTGGGCATTTAGAAATCAATATAAATTGAAAGAAATATCAAAATGAGGAAGCTGACCTTTTTTTTTTTTTACGAAACATCGCGAGAATGCGCGACGCCTCGCCGTGTTCCTCATTACCAACCTGACAAGTAACCGTGCAAACGCGAATCGTATAAAGGAAGTGAGGCGGCGTTGTGCATCGCGAGACCCGCCGCATTGTCAACGCCAAACAGAAGAGGACGCGTTCCAACCAGCGTGAACATTGTCTTCGGCTTAATTGCTCGGCAGATTTCTCGGGCTCGTGAGCACGAAGAAAATATTTTTTTACTATTTTTTTTTACTCTGCGTGGTATTTTCACGATTGTAGAATAAATTTCTATTTATTTCAAATGAAAAGTTGGAATAAATTTGGAAAAGATTTAGAATAGAAAAAATGTGTTCTGTGGTACGATCTATATATATAAGTGTGGCCAGAATCACTTTGTCGCATCAAACGCGAAGAAATATTCATTCTATATACACGTATTGTAGAATAAATTTTTATCTATTCTAAATGAAAATTTAGAATGAATAAAAATCTATTCTATAATTGTAAAAATACGTGCAAGTAACTTTTCCTTAATCTAAATAAAAACTTAGTATAAATTGTTCTCAATCTAAATTTCTCTTAGTCTAAATAAAAATTTTGAATAAATTGTGTTCTGTGGTACTATATATAATATCTATATATAAGTGTGGCCAGAATCACTTTGTCGCATCAAACGCGAAGAAAAATTCATTCTATATACACGTATTGTAGAATAAATTTTTATCTATTCTAAATGAACATTTAGAATGAATAAAAATCTATTCTATAATTGTAAAAATACGTGCAAGTAACTTTTCTTTAATCTAAATAAAAACTTAGTATAAATTGTTCTCAATCTAAATTTCTCTTAGTCTAAATAAAAATTTTGAATAAATTGTGTTCTGTGGTACTATATATAATATCTATATATAAGTGTGGCCAGAATCACTTTGTCGCATCAAACGCGAAGAAAAATTCATTCTATATACACGTATTGTAGAATAAATTTTTATCTATTCTAAATGAACATTTAGAATGAATAAAAATCTATTCTATAATTGTAAAAATACGTGCAAGTAACTTTTCCTTAATCTAAATGAAAACTTAGTATAAATTGTTCTCAATCTAAATTTCTCTTAGTCTAAATAAAAATTTTGAATAAATTTAGAAAAGAATCAAAATTTATTCCGCACGTCGTCGAAATACACGTAGAGAAATGGAAAGTAAAAAACTTAGAAACAAATAAAAATCTATTCCACAAAAAATACGTGTGGAGGGGAATGGAAAATGTGGGATGAACTTTTCTCTAAATTTAGTCTAAATAGAAATTTAGAATAAATAAAAAAGTGAATTCTACAATCGCCAAAATACACACATAGGAAAGTGTAGAAGTGTGGAAGTGATATACAGGAGAGATGAAAAGTGTAGAATAAATTTTCACGTTCGACGAGACACTCCGACCGCAGTATAGATCGGTACCACGGAACACCCCCCCTCCCCCCCCCCGATTCGGAGGAATTATGATTAATGTCCCCGATAATTAATCCCATTGTATCCATCCGTTGTCGCATTTTCGTCTGGCGAGATAGCCGGCCGATCGAGCTGTTGAACGTGCTTGCGCGTTTTGACGTAGATCTCGATCGATCGAGCGCACGTGGTTGGATCATGGGCCACGCGCCCGAAGGTCCAGAGGTCCACCGGGGAGGGCGGCTAAGCAGTTGCAAAATGTTAAGGGATGATCGCTAATAGGCGGGGGCGCAACAGTTGCGTGGGTGGATGCGCGTTCGACGATGGAGCGGTGAGTAGGTGGGAGGGGGAGGGAAGGGCCGGAAGAGGGATGAGAGAGGCACACGTAGAAGGGGGTTGGATCCCAGTACCCGTTGACGTGCCTCAGTATTCATCTGGTATCCACGCGGTGAGCAACCCTGTCCGCCGTATCGCGCCCCGACGTGGAAGCTACTCGGTCTCGCGAAGCTCAATCCTCTGCGACCGTCTCGTCCTCCGTCGAGCGTATACAGTTCCGTGGTGTACGTTCCTGTGCGAAATTATTGAGAAAAATAATAATCGTCTCGATGACGCGAGAGGGGAGAAACAACGGGGAGTAATCGCGCGGAATTGGAATTTTTTCCAGCGGGAGAATCAATTTGAGCCTGACATTTGGGTTAGGTTTGGGTGCGATGGAAAAAGCGCGGTTGTACGCCGATTCTCACGGTGTTGCTTCGAACGTAGCAATCCAGTTCTTCTTGAGAGGGAGGAGCATGCTCTCTTGAATCGAGGTCTCGTTACATTCGAACGTAAGGTATTAACTGTTGCTCTCGGGCGCGAATCCAAATATCTTCTTCTCCCTTTTTCTCCATCCCCTTTCCGTAAAATTCACGAATTCGACCCTGCAGCTCTTCAAGAACTGTGTTCGTTGTCTCGCGGCCGGCGAAACTTCGAAACACTTCGTTTTGCAATAGTTCGGTTCGAGCTGGAGAAATGTGTCGTACATTTTGTACGCACGTGCTGTTTCGATGATCTACGATGATCTACGTAGCCCGAGGACACGTGCAAGATCTTCTCGCTTTTAAGAAAAAAAGATTTATCTGTCTAAGTTACTTTCGTTCCCTCGATTTGGATTTCAACAAATTTCTGCAGTCTCTTCTTGACGTGAAAAAAATTTTGCAAACCTCTGAGCAAAAACGAACGGGGTTCCGCGGCGACTATGGTCGCTTTCGCGAGGAACACCGGCGTTTTTAATTAAATCTGTGAAATTCCTGACGCGCGAGAGACGTGATGAAATAATGATATCAGCGAATGTGCATTTTTCAAGAGTCACGAGCCAGCTAATCCCGTACGTTGCCGAACTCTCAATAAATGAACGCGGCGTGTGTAATTCAGGATTAACGGGAACATCCCTTTCAACAGTTTCCATCGATCCCTCGGTTATGAAATAACGACCTAATTTGTAGGTATGTATGTCGGCTGCGTGTGGATGTTGCGCGGTTTTTTTCCTTCGATCACGTCGCCCGTGAAGACCCGGTATGACGTGGTATGTGTGTGTGTGTGTGTGTGTGTGTTCTTCAAGGGGTTCTTCGTGAAATGACTTCGCGTTGTTGCGAGTTCCTCGTTCCAAATTTCAGAGTTCATCGTCGCGTTGGTAACGCCGGTCCCTCTGGTTCAATGAGAGCTCCGTTATCGAATTTGAGCACGTAATTAAAGTGAGGCAATAGCTGATTGAAAAAAAAAAGTACGTGGCATTCGCAAATCACGGTTCGGCTGTGAAACGTGAAGTTTAAATGAATTTACAGGTAAAACAATGCTTTAATATTATCGCGGCTGTTCAACATTGATAAATTGAGCACGCGATGGTATACGAAATATCCAATTTTATACTATGTTAGAATGTGAGCTATTTTTTTTCTTGTTTCTTTTAAAGTCCATTTTTTCGTACGTTGAGGGTTCGCGTTTGAATTAACTGAGAAATATTGGCGAACGTCAATAAATTCGAGTAACGATTTTAAAACTTTATTCTATACGTAATAATAATTAATAACATTGTAAAATAACAAAAATGAAAGGTTTTTTTCAGCTACAAATGGACCTCGATAATAAATAATTCAGAGAGACGTGAACAATACCAGTTTTAAATTTAAATACTTTAATAAACTCTCAAATTTGTATTCTTTTTTTAAAATAATAATAAAAATAATAATTGAATAATTTTAAAAATGAAATTCACTTTGTTCAGAAATATTTTCAGTTATGGTAAAAAAAAAATTCATAACAAAACAATTACAGAAGGTAAAGCAATAATGTCGTTAGAGATCTTGAAATTGTGCACAATGTTAACAAAGTTAGTTTGGTCGTTTTCCAAATAAAAATCCAGAACTCTAAAATCTTGTAGAGATCATCCCTTTTAAATCCAACATATTTTCAGCCAATGTATAATTTCTCCGTCCTAGTTTCTTCATCTGTTTAATCATTGCCTCTTCTAAGGATTTCATTTAGACAAAACCTCCTCGTCTAGACAGTTGTTTGTTTCTCGATAATTGTTTGTCTTGAACAGTGTATAATTAATAATTGACGCGGTTAGAAAGTTGTTTTAATTATCGATCACTACACTTTCAAAAAGGACATTCTTGCAATAATAGTTAGATTTCTTTTGCAGAACTTGCGAGGATGTTGTACATAGAATATCGATTTTGTTATTACAAGTGTGAAAAAAAGTCCATTTCTAACTGAAACTAACCTTAACTCATTTCTTTCCAAAACTGGACTCATATAGAAAGAAACTTAAAAAAAAAAAGAAGCTCATACTTAGGAAACTCTGTCTAGATTCCGTTTCTCTTTAGTTGCGTTCGTAACGATATGAATTTCCGTAAGTAACATGAAATAAGGGAAATTAAGTCATTGACAAAAGATCTTGCAATCTTCGACGAAACGTAAAGTCAGAGAACTGTTGACTGTCGGATGTCGCACGAACAGTATTAAATTAAAAATATATCGTGGCACAGGTCACAGGTAGGACGGCAGCTACCGGTGGCTCAGACGCACGTGGAATATTCAATTCCGCACGGAATCGTGTGACGCAAATCGATTTAATTGCCCGTTGATTAAAGCTATTTTCGTGCGAAGTCCCGCAAGTTCCTCGCGTTTGCATCCTGTTTATTCGTTTTAACTTCGTCGTTTCGCGCGGAAGTAGGAGTTCCATATATTAAGCTCCTTTTACGAATGTTACGAAACACCTCTTCGAATACATTTTTAAATTCCATCTTGCGAAAAAGAAAAAGAAAGAAAAGGAAGGAAATTAACATTCTAGCTCTGCGATATTTCAATTTCAGACACTTACAGATGCTTTAAAAGCCATAATTTTTTCTTGGAATCTTCGGGCTAGCAGGGATAAAAACTTGTGATATTCGTCGTTAATCTCTTGCTCGAAGATAAACGGACGGCTTACTCAGGTTCGAGGTGGCCGAAGAAAATTTGATGATCGTTTCACGGCTCGTAATTTTCCGAGAAATTCCAGAGAAATTCGTTCGAACGTATAAAATAATGAAAAAAAAAAAATCTTGTCACGATTCATGTAAGCAACCTAATTTAGTGTCTGTTCGGGAAACCACGCGATTCTTTATTATTAATTATCCACCTTTACTATTAACTATCATTTATGACTTATAGATCATTGAAATTTCACAAAAGCACTGCGCTTCATCTGATAGATCTCAGTTTAAAAATAAAATAAAATTTTGTATTTTAAATGATTCAATTCTCGTCGGGTCAATTATGGTGATAAGTTTCACTAAAATTCATACTACTGAAAAAGAAGCACAATGTGTTCTTAATTTATTTCTTAATAGAAAAAACTTCAATATTTTCCAACAAACATCGATTTTTATTAGCAAAAGTTTTACTTCGCTTTTTGTTTTAGAAAAAATATACATATATATATGTGAGAATTATTATACAGATCAATTATGGTTATAAGTTCTACTAAAGTTCATACTACTGAAAAAGAAGCACAATGTTCTTAATTTATTTCTTAATAGAAAAAAATTCAATATTTTCCAACAAACATCGATTTTTATTAGTAAAAGTTTTACTTCGCTTTTTGTTTTAGAAAACATATATATATATATATATATATATATATATACATATATGAGAATTATTATACTGATCAATTATGGTTATAAGTTTCACTAAATTTCATACTACTGAAAAGGAAGCACAGTGTTCTTAATTTATTTCTTAATAGAAAAAAAAACTCAATATTTTTCGAATCCTGACAAACATTTTTATTCGCAAAAGTTTTATTTCGCTCTTTGTTTTAGGAAACATATATATGTGTGAATGATTGCGCGTCTACATTTTTACAACTGTTTACAGCATTCGTAGAAGCAAATGGCAAGAGATGCGTCTTCGCGAATCTTACTAATTCTCGTAATCTAATTTATTTGTTTGCGTAACCTTGGCGCGTGACTCACGAAGAGCGGATAACTTAATTAGAAAATTCGTGAAACCATCGTTTGTTAAATGGTCGCAATCGTCGCGTGGGCTGGCTAAATTCGTTGTCGCAGTTAGGTCTTTATATTAGGTCACCGGTTTGGGGAAACAATTTTCATTTTCACCGGCATTTTCTACCTTGGAAAAACGTCGGCCTTTTGTTCTGCCCGTGATCCGCTTCTGATTCCGGTGAAACGTTGGCCGAGCGAATTTATACGGTGCTAATTAACACGAGGGAGCGAGTTGGCGTGGCGGGACAAAGAACGTGGCCGTTTCGCGCCATTTTATTAAACGATGACGGTAAACGACGGACAGGGCGTATTCATTTGCGCGAGCACTCATCAACCCGGTGATTAATAATTCGAAAAATCAATTTGCCCACCTCCTCCAGCCACGGCGGAACGCCGTTGTTTCCATTTTCACGGCTTCCGGTTCGAGCGCACATCGACACGTTGATTGAATGAACAATCCAATGCGAGGGATCATTCGCGCAAGTGGCAAAAGTTAGTGCGTTAAATGGAAACGATGAATGATATTCATCGACGCGATATCCTCTTGAATCGTGAGCCGTTTCGTTGCCCATGCAGCGCGATCGTGCTGTTCAGATTTCTTGTCGAATCGTGCCACAGTGTTTGTTTGCTTTAATTTACAATGCGCTCGGTTTCGATTGTAACGTGTTATCAGTCGTATTGCAACTTCCTCTCCTACTATTTTTTTTAATTAAACCTAAATCACATGAACCTGAACCTAACCTAAATCTAAAAACTGCATAAATAGACAGTCTTTGCTTTATGTACTTTTGTATTTTTATTTTTATTTTTATTACTTATTCTACTTTTATACTTTTATTTTTATTACTTGTTAATCACATGAA